CTGGTCAGACTCCACCTGGAACCTTTTGTTCAGTTCTGGGATCCCAGCACAGGAAGGACGTGGAGCTCCAAGATGATCAGAGGGATGGAGCAGCTCTGGTGTGAGGAAAGGCTGAGAAAATTGGGATTATCCAGCCTGGGGAAGAGAAGGCTCCAGGGAAACCTTAGAGCCCCTTCCAGTGCCTGAAGGGGCTCCAGGAGAGCTGAAGAGGGACTTGGGACAAGGGATGGAGTGACAAGACAAGAGGGAATGGTTTTAAATTGACAGAGGTCAGAGTTAGATGGGATATGGGCAAGAATTCTTCCCTGTGAGGGTGGTGAGGCCCTGGCACAGGTTGCCCAGAAAAGCTGTGGCTGTCCCATCCCTGGAAATGTCCAATGTCAGTTTGGACAGAGCTTGGAGCACCCTGGGATGGTGGAAGGTGTCCCTGCCCAGGGCAGGGGCTGGAATGAGATGGTTTTTTCAGGTCCCTTCCAACCCAAACCATTCTGTGATTTTGTGATGATTCCCTGAAGACCCAGGGTAAGGACCCACCACCATCACCTTTCCATACCCACCACGAGTCCAGCACTGGTGACTGTGCCAGGACCAGCTCCAGCAGAAGGATGTGTGGATTATCTCAATGCACTTTGCCTCTGTCCTTGTCAGAGATTTGGGGGTTTTGTTGGCACTGAAAGTCAGGGCTGAATGAAGGAGACTCCCAGTGCCACCAGGATGATGAAAACCTCCAGTCTGGGGCTGGTTTTACCCCAGCTCTGAGTGTGGATGCTCCCTCCTTCCCCACCCCTTTTTTTTCCTCCACAATCCTGGCACCAGGCAGGGACTGATAAACATTTCCCTCCTTCCCAGAAGCTCCTGGGCTGTGTCAGGCCAGAGTGATGGCTCTGTCCCTGGCTCCTGGTGCTCTCAGCCCCTGTCTGGGGCCAGCCCTGGCTGTCTCACAGGCACTGAGCCAGCTCCAGTGCCTTTTCCAGCCAGATTACACATCCCTCTCTCCAGGATTTCTCTTTTTTTTCCTGTGCATAGCTCAGTTTCCCCTCCTGTCTGCAAGGATTGCAAAGACCCCGCAGTGAAGCTGGAGGGAAATGCCAGGGTTGGAGCATGAGCCCAGTGCCTGTTTCTCTGTGCTGCTCAACTGGCCCAGACCCCATAAAAACTTTTTTTCCGTATGGAGGGAAAGAAAAGGGGAGCTGTTCCCAGGAGCCTGCTACCAATTCCCAGGGTGTCCTGTGCCAAGAGGAGATTTTCTTTTGTCTCCCAGCATCCTCCCCAGAGCTCTGCCAGGCTGATTAACCTGCTCAGAGATCCCAGTGGGCACTGAGTCCTCCTGCAGCCAGCACCTCCCTCACAGCCTCACCAGAGAAGTCTGATCCTTCCCTGAGAAATGCAGAACTAAAAGCAAGTCTCCCTTCTTCGTTTCCTCATTTTCCAGAGCTCTTTTTCATCTTCTAACTGTGAATAAACACCTCTGGAGTCACTAAGCCCACCACAGTCACAGGTAAACCTATCGCACTGATAAAGAGGATGGAAATCACCATGTGGGGTCAAACCCAAGGGCAGTTTCTGCCTCCTCTCCATGGCAGAGTGAAAAGGAGCTTGGAAAAATAAGAGGGCCAGGCTGTGGTGGTGCATCTTCAAAAAGATCCCCAAAACTGTGCTCAGAGACCCCTTGATGCAGAGTGGTGCCGCTTCACTGGAGAGCACCGAATGGATGCTGGTTTTGCGAGTGTTTCCATGTGCTTTTCATGAGTTTGGAAGTTTTCAGGATGGACAGAGAGCTGTGGAAAGGTGGCCTGGAGGAGGGCTCGGCACTGTGGGCTCACTCCCTGGTGCTCTGGAGTTCCTTTGTTGGAAGGGATTGTCCCAATCCCCACCATCAGTGGTCCATTCCTATCATCCACAAGCCTCACAGAGCTTCACAAACCTCTTTTACATCCGGTCATCATCTCTTTTAAGGTCTGAAGGTGGAAGTTTGCAATCTTCCCTCCCACAGGACATCTCTATAACTTTATCCATGACTGGAAACTGGCCACATTCATCATTTTCCCTTTATCCTTCTCTCAGGAAGCCCATGGAGTGCCCAGAATATTCAAGATGCAGGTGCAGAATGGAGCTGTTCACTGCCAGAATAATATTTCCTGTTTCATTCTCTCTCCATTTCTTAATCTATTCTCTTCTCAACAACTCACAGCATTTAAATGTCTGGGGTTTGAATAATTATTGTCACCCTTAGGTGGTGTTCCCCAGTGACAGGGCTGATCAGAGGCCACTGCTGTAGGTCTGAGCTCATCATTTTTGTATTTTGTGGGGGTTTTGGTTTTTTTTTCCTTCAGTTTCTGTTCCCTCCCTGGCTTTGCAGCTCCTCTTGCTCACTGGCCCATGGCAGGGAGGGCTCTGAGGTTTGCTGATCACGTTCAGGGTGCATGATCAGATCTGGGAGCATCCTCCCAGCATGAAGGAGAGGCTGAAGGTCAGGAGTGTGGCAGATGGAGAGAGACTGCTAAAACAGGCATTGGCTGCAAACAGAACCTGATGCTGAAGGTGGCCATAAATAATGCCACCAAAAAGGGTGCTTGTTTGAGGGGAAAAACCGAATTATTTATGAACTTCATGCATAAGATCACTTGTGCTGCTCTCTAATACAGCTGTGGACATCAGCAGTTTTGAAAACTTGTGGCATTACAGCAGTGGTGGGAGAAAACAAATTGCTTTCCATTGAAAAAAATTCTGTCTTGACCAAGGTTGTTTTTCTTCACCTTTTGGGAAACTTAATTTCTTTTCAATTTTTGCTCTATTTGTGCTTTTTTGTCTGTGTTCCTTCCTGCTGTATCTTTTCAGGCAGACTGATTGTCTCCAAAAAACACTGTAGGTGGAAATTTCCCTTCAGGAAACTTCCAGCTTGTCTCATCAGGACACACACACAAGAGTTAAATAAGTTTCTAATTTTAGTGGCAGTGGTTCTAAAATAAATTCCAAAAAAAAGATAATGGAATAAATAATTAATTTTATCACCTTTTCTGTCATATTAGTGTTAATCACTGTCATGTTATATCGTGGAATAAAGTAAGAAAAACACCAGCAGCATGAGGAAAGCTCTGAATTGTAGAGTTTAATGAAAAACTCAGCTGCAGATTTCAAAAAATTGAAAATTTAGTGTTTTACATTCTTTTGAGCAATACTTTTACACAACCTCATTTAAAAAAAAATCCAAACAACAATTCTCTTTAAAAAGATTTAAAAACTTATTTTTCTCCCTTTGAATGAAAATAATTTCAGAATGCTTTCACTTCACTTGGAGATGTTTACCTGGTTTGTGCATTCCCCACCTTCTAACCCACCAAAAACTCTCACCCAGAGCCTTCCTCCTGGGAGTAGTGAGGTGCAGGACCAACTTCAGGCCACATCTTATTTTTACATTAAAGTTTGGACAAGCAGAATTTCCTGGCTTGGGTGATCCAGCGAAAGCTGCAGGGATAATTCCACAGCAGCTTTCCTGTCAGCACTGCAGTGTGGAGCTGGGACAAACAACAGCCTGGCAAAAACATCTTTGGGAAGGACAAACTGAGCAGCTGAGGCTGCTGGGTGAGCCTGCAGCAGATGGGGATGGAGGATGCCTACCAGGCTCTCAGCAGCATCCTGGAGTGGCCCCACAGCCTTTTGTGGCTTCACCTCCCCTCAGTCAATGCATTTTGGTGGCAGCCTCGAGCTGTGACACATCCTGGTGGTGTGTCCCCTGCACATCTGGCTCCTCACCCTCTCTCCAGGCTTTTCCCTCCTTGTTGTCATCCTCCACAAACCACTTTCCTCCCACCCTTCCCGCTTCCCCTTTGGCAGGTGGCTCAAAAGGGCTCTGTCACCTCCAGGGAAGCCTTTTCTTCCCAGTGCTGGAGTGTTTTTGTGAAGAAAATTAAGTGTGAAAAGCATCACTGGTGTTTGGAGGGGAGAAGTTGAGTGGAACAACTCATTTAAAACCTTTCCTTTCTCTACCCACTGAGGAACACACCCATTTTCCAGCCCCCCCAGAGCCTTGTCTTGGTGTATGTCAGCAAAAACATGGAAAGATTTTCTGGATCAATATTCATGGTGGGGTGCGGGGGGGAGACTGGGTCAATAGAGCGTCCAGGGCTTGGTGTGGAGTTGGTGGAAATGTTTCCAGCCTCAGAGCTGAGCTCCAGCTCCTCAAGCAGCACAGATTTGGTTCCCTGGTGGAGCAGGGAGCAGGTTCTGCTGCAATAAAGAGTCTACAAATAGCTGTGCATCAAATGCAATGGGTGTTCAGGAAGAGCTCATTGTAATCTGGATTTCATACGTGGGTTGGGTTGGAAGAGACCTTAAAGATCTTACAGGTTCTTTATAGTTTCTTATGGTTCTTTAAGATCTTAACAGTTCTTTAAGATCTTACAGATCTTAAAGGTTCTTAAATCCTATAGTTCCTGTAGTTCCATCTATAGTTCCACCCCCTGCCATGGGCAGGGACACCTCCCACTATCCCAGGGTGCTCCAAGCCCCTTCCAACCTGGCCTTGGACACTTCCAGGGATGGGGCAGCCACAGCTTCTCTGGGAATTCCATTCCAGGGCCTCAGCACCTTCACAGGGAAGAATTTCTTCCCAACAGTCCATCTAAATCTTCCCTCCTTCGTCTTAAAGCCATCACCCATTGTCTTGTCACTACATCTGTGGAAGTAGTAAAAGATCTGATGTTCTCAAAACAGCACTCAGTTTTTTTCAGTAGCAAAAACCTCAGCTGAAGGCTGAAATATCCAGTCATTAAGTGATGGAAGTGGCAGTGGAAAGAAAAACAACATTTTCTTCCTGAAAATAGACAGTTTGTACACTAAGTGTCATTTTCATTGATACCCCACTTTATTTTGGATGAGAAGCTGCACGGAAAAAACGATTTGTCGATACAAGAGGAGGTAAAATCATGGTATTTCTTGCATTTTGCACTAACTTTTCTTTCTCTCTCTCTCTCCTTTCTTACATTTCCCTCCTCCTGCAGCAAGAAAAACAGCAGACACCAAACAAGAGACCCTGGGAAGGCATCAGGAAAGTCCAGTCCCCGCCATCATGGGTTAAAAAGGACATCGAACCTGTGGCACAGTCTCCCCTAGAACTAAAAACTGTAGAGTGGGAGAAAACAGGGGCCACCATCCCCTTGGTGGGACAAGACATTATTGACCTTCAGACAGAGGTCTGAGCAGCAAGGGAAGAAAAAAAGACTTTTTTTTTTCCAGAAAACAAACGAAACAAACAAAACAAAACCACGTTTTAAAGAAATGATTAAATTAAATCGGAACCGAGCGAGAGAAGTGTTTGGTTTCTTTTGAAACCTTTGGTAAGATGGAATAACTTTTGTATTGTTCTCAGCAGAGAGGGGGAATATTACTTTATAGAGTATAGTAGCTGTAGGTTCAGGACAACACGAGCTTTCCCAGGCAGGACTGGAGGAGTGAGCCTGGAAGAGAGCGAGGAGGAAGAGGAGGAGGAGGGTGGGGAGGGGCTGCAGGGGACAAGCCCTGCCAAGATGCTCTCGGGTTGCTGCAGCACACCAGGAGCCCTCCTGCTCTGCCACAGGGAGGTGTGGAAGGATGCCCAGCAGCCACCACAGAGGGCCCAGAAGATCAGGAGACATCAAGAGGGGACACCTGCAGGAGCCACGCTGGGATGTGGCCTGGCTGGGGCAGGCCCAGCCTGGAGGGACATTCCTGGCTCTCCCTCCTCTCCCTCACCAGCTTATCCAAGAAGGAAGGAGATGGGACAGGCCAAGAAGTGGCCACAAGGACATTGCCACTGCTGGGTGCCACGCCACGGCCTGGCATTGGCGCACGGTCACAGCGGGTCCCCGCGGAGGGGGACGTGGTGGCGTCACCCACGGCTGGAAAGCTGGAAAAAGGGAGAGGTGGGGTTTCCTCCTCTCATCCCTCCCCGGTGGAGGAAAGGACCAGCTCCAAATCTCCAAATCCTGCTCGCCCCCATCTCCAGGGAGAGGGTGGAAGGTGGTAGACAACAAGACCAACAAGAAGAATGTAGGTCATGTCATTGACTGTTAAATAGATAAACTCAGCACGGGCCTTGCAAAGGTCCTCTTGGCCTCATCCTTTTTTTTTTTTCTTTCTTTTTTTTTTTCTTTTTTTTTTGGTTCTGTTATTTGTCCTTGCTTTCGGACTCAAATTTATTCCAAGCTGCCCCTCCCTGGAAGGCAGAGAGAGAAAAAGGGAAAGACAGATCTGCCGCTGTACCTGGAGATATTGGTAAACAGAGACGTTGCCTTAGGACATTGAGACAAACTGACAACATGAATAACGTCCACTTGGAAACAAACAGACAAAAAAAAAACAAACAAAATAATCTATTTTTTTCCTTCTTCTTTTCTTTTCTTCAATAAAAAGAGAACTTGAAACCCGAGACCTTTCTTTTCTTTGCCTCTTGTCATTTCGAATGCCTTTCTGTGCCGTAGGACTGCTCAGGCATGGGGTGAGGATGCCACCTGCTGAAGGTGGAAGGCAAGTTGCTCTGTGGAAATTTTGGGATGGTGGGAATGCACAGCCCCTTCACTGCTGGCTTGCAATGTTTTGTTTTGCTTTATGCGGTTTGGGTTTTGGTTCTTTTCCCCTCACTGGCTTTTCTCTGCCCTCCCTGCTGCCCAGAGCCAGCAGCAGGTTTGTGGTCCTGCAGGAAGGAAGAGGTGGAGCTGATCAGGAGAGCAGGACATTCATCCTCATAAAATGCAGTCTTTTCATTTCACTATGAAAAAAAAAAAAACTATTTAAAATTTTTCATTTAACATTTCTCAAGGTTATTTACAAAAAAAAAAAGAGGTGTCTGCATTCCACCCCAAAAATATTTTTATCATTAAAAAATGAACCAGTGGCATTACACACAGACTTTTTTTTAAAATTATTATTATTTTTGTCATTCCCAGCACTGTCTGTCTGATATTTAGACCAACTCTCCCAGTTTTGGAGGTGGATGGAGACAAACCTCTGGTTGCGAGTAGCCAGATTGTGCCAGACAGCAGCAAAGCTTGAACAGGGTCTGAATTATTACTGTGCTTGGTGTCTCCTTTTAATTAAAAAATACAAAACCTCACATTTTTAGGGAAAAATGACCAATGGGTACAAGATGCAAAGCAATCACTGCCCTCAGCTGTGTTTCCCCCATGGGGAGACGCTTGATGTGACAAATCTCTGCTTTGAATTCCCTTTGGGCCACCTGGGTGATCTCCAAGGACAGAGGCATTTACCTTGCCATTAAGCATAGGATATGAAGGATGGGAAGGAAAAGTTAAATAAATCCAAATAGTTAAAAAATAGGGAAAGTGGTTACTCATAAAACTGTGATATTATTGTTCAATATTAGCTTATTCATGAAACAGGAAAGCACAAAGGCCTCCCTCAGATGCTGGGTTGTATGATATTGTAATTATTATAATTACACATGATGGATTTTAGCATACAGGTATCTTTCTACTGTGTTTTAATTATTTTCTCTTTTTTTTTTTCCTTCTTCCCTTCCCTTCTGCCCACCTGAGCCTGCCCTCTTCACTCCAACCTTCCCTGCTCACCCATTCACTGCAGCCGCCTTTGCAGGACATTAACGGTGTTATGTAATTACAGAGATAAATGTTTGTTTAAGAACTGTTGATATTCGACTTTTCTCTGCTCAGCTCCTCTGGTTAATCCTGTTTTCCCATGTCCTGCCCTCCTTCCATGCCTTCCCCTCCTTCCTCTCCGTGTTCGTCAACACTTTTTTTTTTTTCTCTCTCTCTCTGTACAGTTTTCAGAGCACAAAATGAATGTGTCTTATTTCTAATAAAAGAGGTGGAAACTCCAGCCCTGTCTGCTTTTTAAAAGTGCCCCCTGCCTGCATCCCATGTGTGCTTTGCATCTCTCCTGGGGGCTGGGAAACCTCTCCTGGCCCCATAGCTGCCACCTGGGCCCTCTGTTCTTTCCAGAGTCACAACACAGGGCTGCATTTACCCAAATTTCAGCTTTGTATCCTCTCCACCCCTCTAAAAATACATGTCCCTATAAAGTACATTTGCAGGACATGAGGAATCCCCTTTTCTGTGCAGTGCAGCTTGTTTTTATTTAGGTTTCTCAAACCCACAGCCTGATGCTTCCTTCGTAGGATGTGAAGAGCTGAGATTTAGCACAGATCTGGCAGCATTTCTGCTACAGGACAGGGCTGTGGGGTTAAAGTTTCCAGCAGGGCCATGGTAAGTCTGATGCCACCCTGCCCACATCCCTGCAAAGCCAATGACAGAATTCCAGAATGGTTTGGGTTGGAAAGGGACCTTAAAGACCATCTTGTCCCTCCTGCCATGGGCAGGGACACCTTCCACTATCCCAGGGTGCTCCAAGCCCTGTCCAGCCTGGTCTTGGACACTTCCAGGGGATGGGACAGCCACAGCTTCTCTGGGCAACCTGTGCCAGGGCCTCACCACCCTCACAGGGAAGAATTTCTTCCAATATTTAATCTAAATCTAAATCTACCCTGCTTCAGCTTAAAGTCATTCCCCTTGTCCAATCCCTCAGTACCCTTGTAGGAAATACCTCTCCACTTCCATTTTTTTTTGTTATCCCCCATCAGGTACTGGAAGACTCAACCTCACCTGGATTTCCCTGGCACCTCCTGCATTACCAGACAGACTCTGAGCCGGAGCGTGGCTCAGTGCACAGGGGTCTCAGGATATCACTTGCAAAATACGAAAAAAATTAATTGAGCTGCAGATTATTCACTTCCTTGGTGCTCATCCTCAAATGGCTGAAATCTTCTAGCAAAAAAAAAAAAAAATTGTGTGTTTATCTCCCTGACTCTGCTCCATCACCTTTAGGATTATAGGCAGGACTACAGGAAACTTAAATCTTGGGAAGATGAGCTCCAGGACTTCTGCCCTCCAGGGCCTTCATCCAAAGCCATCACAGCCCAGTAGGTCCTCAGATGTAATGATTTATCTTGGTCTGGCTGAAATAATGTGAATGTCCTGAAAAATCTGGAATGACTGCAGACCCTGGAGGCTCTTAGCCTAATTCCCCCCTTCCCTGAGCCATGATCCAACATTTCTTCAACCAGCAACACTCAATGGTGAACCCCAGGCCCTCATCCTTCCTATGGAGGTGTTTCTCACCCTACATCTGCCATTCCATGATCCTTCGTGGATGTGGCAGGGCCGGGTTGGACTTGGTGATTTTAAAAATCTTTTCCAATCTAAAGAATTCAATGACTGAGTCGCATCAGGGAAGGGAATGGCACTTCCTGAGGTGATGGGCTGGGAGAGCAGGAGAACCCAAACCTTGGATCACAAACCAGCTCAAGGGGACTGGAATGAAGGGATCACTTCTCCTCACTGTGGGGCTGTAAATGAAAGCACTGCCAGAGGTGGTGGGTGCAGGAGGTCAGTGTGGTTTTGGTTTGCACTGGTGGGGCTGCAAGGGAGGGTCACTGGATAGTTTAGCTTGGAAAGGGACTCCTGATGTCCTCATGAACTTTCCTGTGTCCCTGTGGCCCTGCCTTGCAGTCATCCCAAGCTCTAGTCCCGAGGCAAAGAGAACTCTTGGGGACACCTCATTGCAGCCTCCCAGTACTTAAGGAATGGTTACAAAAATGAGGGAGGAGAATTTTTTACATGGGTAGATGGTGAAAGGACAAAGGGACTGGTTTTAAACTAAAAGAGGTGAGATTAAGATGAGATATTAGGAAGAAATTCTTTCCTGTGAGGGTGGGAAGGCCCTGGCACACCCAGAGAAGCTGTGGCTGCCCCATCCCTGGAAGTGTTCAGAGGTTGGATGGGGCTTGGAGCAACCTGGGATGGTGGATAGTGTCCCATGGCATGGGGGTGGAATGAGATAATCCCAAAGGTCCCTTCCAACCCAACCCATTCTCTAACTCCAAATTCATCATCATCCCACATGGATGAAGCACAGCAATGCTATGGAGATGGAGAAATTGTACATTGCACATGCAAGACTTTGTATATCTTAGTTGCTAAACTGGGAAAACATGGCTGTGCTGGAAAACTGTGAAGAGTCTGAAAATGGAAGAAAATGCAAAGTCTGTTGCCTGGGCTGCTCTGATGGATTCACTCAATCCTTTAACCAAACCAGCAGCAGCTTGGCCCAAAACCCAGAGGAGGCAAAGCCTGAGCCAAGGACTCCTCCAGGAAAACCACAGGGGAGCAGAGTGAAACAGTGAGCATCGATGCACATGGGCTTGGAACACTGATCAAAGCATGAGTAACAGGTGCCTTTTCCAAGGCTCATTTATCAGGGAACAGAGAAACTTGTGGGTACAAGTGATGCCTCAGGTTTTAGCTTTTATGTTTTTCAGATTCTGTGCTGCTTCAGTGTGTAGTTCTGAGCTTCATATTAGGGGATGGTGAGCTCTCTGCACAGAGCAGGGAGACAAAACAATTCCTGCTCTAGCTGGGGACCAAGGACAAATGATCCAAATCTCAGGCCCAAGAGCAGAAACAATGTGGACTGAAGAGAGAAAAACAAGAAGGATGGGACAGCATGAGTTAAAGCTGTAATTGGACAATTAATTCCAATATGCAAATGGACCAGAACTGATCAAAGTGTGAGACCCCGTGACCGGTCGTGCATTTTGTGACCATTTTGGGTTCATCTTGGGTGTAGCCCTGGCTGGGCTCTTGTGCTGCCCAAGGTGCATCCATTGAGGTCTTCTAATAAATCCCTACTTTATTCTTCAGCTCCCTCTAGCCTCTGTTCTAGGTCAGCCTGCACAAGGCATCAGTTTCTGGTGGCCCAGATGGGACAGGAGGCATCTGGAACACCCCCTGGACCAGAGACAGAGGAATCTCCAGCTCTTGCCCCTCTGGCACTTTCATTCATACATTTCCATTTGGTAAAATTTGACTCTGAGCTGACCACTTTGGTCCATAAATAGGACAGCCTAAGTGAGCCTTCTGTGAACCACCATGGAAGTGATCTCCTCCCTGGAGCTGGGACACCTCTCAAGGCTGCTCCTCAAGATAAAGAGACCTTTTCCCAATATTGGATCTTTGGATGAATCCCATTTGAGATGTCCCTGAATTCCAACTGGACTGTGTGCCAGGAGAGTCTCCCCTGGAGCAGGGACACCCCTCAACATTTGAGATTCCTTAGCTGAGAGATCCTTCCTTGGCTGAGGTGCAGAGATCTCTACTCATGGCAGATCCTCAGTGAGTTGCTGATATCAAGCTGAATTAATAATAATGTAATATTGCCAACCTGTGTACTCAGTATTGATTATTATAAACTTCGTGAGGATAATTCCATTACACATAAACCATTGCCCAAATCTGAGACTAAGATTGGACCTAACTGTACCTTGGACAGCAAGGGGGGCCCACTCTGAAATTTGTGATTGAATGGGAGGGTCTCCTTTACCTTTTTGTGTCTCAC